TTCAGCAGACATCTGCAGTTGCTACTTACTCCTACCCATTGCTTTCCTCAGGGCTAAGACAGAATACGTGCATCTGCACCTGCCACCTTTAAGTCTCATAAGAAACAAAGAACAAAATTTCTACTTCTGTAAAAAAAAAGTCATTAGCAAATACAGTGCAACTGGAGTGATATCTACATAAACAAAAAGCAGCTGCCTTCTTGAGGAAAATAGGATGCTGGAACAAGAACCTGTCTGCAGTTATAGTCAAAGTGGGAAAATGGTCAAGATACACCTTGACTGCAGAGGAACAAAAAGCAAACATGAGATGTGCACCACAGCTGTGATTTCAGACTGATTTAGATTGGCCTAAGGGTCTGTTATCACCCAAGTAGGCCGCCCAAGCCCTGGACACCTTCCCATTCTCACTCCTTCCTACTGCTGGGCTGGCGCTTGTCTGCCAGTCAGACCAGAGATACAACTCAGCTAAAAACCAGTCCTCCTCTCATGCTGTGCTAGTTTCAGTTTCACATTCCTGCAGATTAATCACAACTCCCACATTCAATAAACCTTAGCAGACAACCTTTTTCTCCCCTCAAATGGTTGTAACTAAAGCTTACATATTTTAACAAAGTGACAGAAGTATAACAGAAAGCGTAGCACATGCCTAGAAAAAGTATTTCCTGAAGAGGGGTTTCATCACAACCATGGTATATTGTGCTGCAAGCGTTGTACACACACTGTTCAGAAAACCCAGGTTTTTCATACTACACCGACTAAACAAAATTTAACTCTCTTTCAATTATTCCACCCAGAATCCCAACTATTCATTTTCATAAGCACAAAGAAGATTCACTACATCCAGAATTCCTGTGCTATAGAAGCAAATAAAAATGCTAAAACCCCAGAGAACAACATGCACAGGAGAAAGCTAACCCCAATGGCCACTTCCTTGGTGCACACCAGTCCCTGCCAATACCAGACATGAGAGAAACCAGCCAGTTCACAGGGATGATGCTGCACAGCAGTGTTACAGCCTCCAGCAAGGGCTTGCACAACTCTGAGCAGAAACAGTGCTCCTGGGCAACTGCACCACTTCTTAAAGCTGTATAACAGAGGGTGCAAAACACAGGCACTGTAAACACATGCCTGTTCTGTGGAAGACTGTCAAAATGGTAAGCGCCAAAATTTCGCCCGAAGCATTTCCTGTAAACAACCTCCTCTGGCAACAGAGAGTACGCAGAACCACATTCTGAGCAGCTATCCAAGTTAATTGTTGCTGTTTGGTTGTCTGCTAAAGCTCCAGCCCTGGAAACACTTCACATGAGGGTACCCAAGTGGCGTGCAGGACCTCTGTGCACCTTCAGAGTCAAAGTCACTGAGAACATTTAAAAGGCCCTCACCTCCATCACTGTAATGCCTGACCAGTTCACCATCAACTGTGCCATAACACCCATATGACACGAGGGTTGCATGTAGACAGGGAACAGAGCTTGGAAATGCTAAGGAAAGAAACCCAGAGGTCTGTAATGTCTGCAGTTTCAAAGGTGGAGTCAAACTACTGCGTTTAGCAGGTCACCCCAGTCTAGAGTTGGTATCTCAGAAGAAATCTTTGCTAGACCAAAGAACCAAATTCCAGTCTGAAGCATCTTCTGACCAGCGGCTGATTCACTGCAAACAGCCCTCCTCAGAGGTTCCTTTGTTTGAACTCAGTGAACTCCGATTTCTCTTTGACTTCAGATTTAATAAATCGCTAACAAATGGGACTGCAGAGAAGGTGACAAGGTAACATGGCTTTCAAAGTGTAACAACTCCATTCACAAATTGAAACTAAAAATATAACTGAGATTATATTAATGCTTATTTTTAACTTTTTGATACGTTACTATAAAACTCCTTTGCCCAAGCTTCTACCCTGAAGCTCCAAATTTGAGCCTAAGCATCACAACCATTGGAGTAATACAAGAAAAGGGCTTTTGACCCTCCAGCTTCTTACCTCTGTTCCTCTAAGGTCTTTGGGGTAGTAAATGTCTTCAGTCATCTGAACACTCAGGCCAAAATCCACCAAAACAGCCTTAGTTGACATAAAGACAATGTTGCTTGCTAAAAAGAAAAACAAAACATGACAGCATTTAAGCTTCTACCACATCATATGTTTATTTTAGAACATGCCTATTACATTTGGATGTTAGCCTGAAAAGGGAGATTAGCACAACCGGTCTCAATAGCCAACACAGTCCTTCTCCTAGCCAAAACAGGTCTGTTAGTGATTGGGTCCAATTTTAAATTATATCTTAAAAATCAAAGTGGTCTCATTTATGCAAAAGAGGAATCAACAGGTGGAAGACTGGCAGGCACCTCAGCAGAGAGAGGCTTGCTCTTAAGATGTTTAATGGTCTCCAATGTGGAGAGCATGCTGTGCAGATCTGGCTATAAACAACACAACTGTTGCTCACCAAGAAGTTTCTCTACACAAACAATTTAAATGAATACAAAAGTAGAAAGAAACCGAGGCCCTTCTACAGCAGCCTCCTGCATCGGTCAGCGGGAGCGGCTCAGCGTGACAAGAGAGGACAGTCTATGGCTGCAAAAGTTATAACACACTGAGAGCTCTGAACTCCCACCAAATAGCAATATCTAGGTGCTTAATTCACTTTCCTTCATAAAACTCTGCCTAAGGCACAGCTTTGTACTCAGAGGCTTTCTTTGCAGCTGTATTTTTGATCAAATATTTATGAAGGTAGCACTCTGTGTAAGCCTTTGGAAATTCTTGTTTGCTGCTTCAGAAGACGTTGACAAACGAAGTCTCTAAAGTCACACAACAGACACATTTTCTCCCAGAGGAACCTGGGGGCCATTTTCCATCTCAACAGTGCCCACTCTGACCATGTAGTGGGAAGACACAGGCTTGATTTCAGCACTACTGGTTCCTAAGCAATCCTTCACATAGCTGACTCCTTACCAGTGCTAGAAAACTATGTAAATAGATTTGCAATTTATATTAACTAAAAAAAAATGTAAAACCAAGATAAAAATTTAGTAATTCCCGGTGTGTCTTCTGTCAGCTATTTATTGTAACATTTCAGTTTAAATATTTCTATTTTAAGTCCTCAAGTTTAGCAAAAATTAACTTGCAGAAGAGATAAGTCTTCATTAGAAGCACTGTTACTAGAAAGGCAGAATTTAACTGTCTGCGGAGGGAAGTGGTGCTGGGAGAAACAGTATTTAATATTAAATTAAATATTTAATATTAAAGCAATTTAATATTAATGCATTTAATTTTGGTTTAATATCAATACCTTTTGATTATTTATACATGTTAATACCCAGAGCTTTTTAAAAGCAAATATGCAGTAAAATTTGCAGTAATTGTTGAAATAAAAAAAAGTACAAATTATGTATTTAACTCCAAAGTGTTTCAAACTGAGAAACAGCCATGCAGAACCATAAAACTTAAAAGAAGGTGCAAGTGGAAAGTGGCCACGGAAGCAGTCAGAATGAATTTACATGGAAAGAGGGAAACTTCTGGCTTAACACAGACCAAATTGAGCACATTTTCTTGAGGTTTTTATTTCAAATTGAGTTGCTCAGAGAAGGCAAAGGAACTCTACGACTTTTGCAGCATCCTCTCCACTGAAGTGAATTAATATATAGTGTAAATAATTATTATCTCCAGACAGAACCTGACCTTGTCATTTGTTGAGCATGATCCCTCCCCTTCCCTGAGCTGCTACTGCCCCTAGCTCAGTCCCAGGCTCTCCTCCGGAGCCCCAGCCCCTACTGGACCAGAAAGCACCCCAAGGAATCACACACACATACGTTTTATATCGTGGTGGATAATCCTCTTGGAGTGGAGAAAGTCAAGTCCTTTCAGAATATGCTTTGTCACCCAAATTATTTCAAATTCTCTCATAGGACCACAACTCTCCAGCTTTTCCATGACAGATCCTCCCTCTCCGGCTTCCATGAAGAGATGGATTGTCTCATCCCACAGAATAGCACCGTATAATTCAGCAATGTTTTCGTGACGGAAACATGCTTGTATTTCAACATCCGATGGTTTGAACTGTTCCACTGGGACCTAAGACATTGAAGCAAAACAACAGAAAAGCAGTTCAAAAAACAGGTTGTCTGTACTAACAGTATTTACCCTATAGACTAAAATGGAAGAAGGAAGCAAAGCACTCCTATCCACTTGTTAAAATATGGAGCTTTATTTTGATCTTACAACTTCTTCCTTTCCAGTTGAGATATATCCTGTTTAAAAGTTGAGAGAGTTTTGGAATTGTGCCCAAATAAAAAGTGTAATCTTCCAGAAAAAGCAATGTAGCAAGAGTTATTCCCGTCAAAATCTGTTGATTACGCAAAAGCTCTACGCAAACTTCCTGGTGAAGGAGATAAAAATCCCACTGCTTTTTCCATTAGCTGTGTGCAGTCTCATCTGCTCTACCAGAGCTACACACCCATCTGACATGTGGATCAGCACTTGCAGCCTGCAGCACAGTCTGCAGACTAACCATGCTCCAGACCATGACTGACCTCAACTCAGCCCTTATCAGCACTGTTCTATTGTTCACAAGAACTGAAACCTGCTTTAAAGGGAGCACCTGGCAGCATTATATTTCTTTAAGAAGTACTGACAGCAGATTGCTAAAACAATAAAAAGCAGTGTTTGCTTACACACAGAAAGACTACTACTGCTTTTTATTCTCCTTCCCTCAGACTTATGGCTGTGAACCAAATAAAAGGCTAATATTTTTATTGCAATGAGAAATACTGTTTATATTTTCAGAAACATCAAGACACACTAATTCTGCAGGGGTTTATGCAGGAGTGGCAAACTAAATCTGTCCCTTTGTGGATGCACTGGCTGCAAGGGAAGGACATACAGCTGCCTCCCCGACTCTTTTGCACACAGAGGTAATATAGGTACTTATCCACAAGTAGGGGGTATGTAGAGCAGTGTCCTAGCTGAGCTTTTACTGGCTCTAAGTATTTACTGCTCAATGCAGAATACTATGCTGAAAGGTAAAGGGAAAGTAAACATTGGCTTGCATAAAAACAGAGGGGTGCTCAGCAGTTTTCCTTGAGACATCTCACAAACTGCTGGAGAGAGTCCAGCGTAGGGCTACAAAGATGATCAAGGGAGTGGAGCATCTCCCTTATGAGGAGCGGCTGAGGGAGCTGGGTCTCTTTAGTTTGCAGAAGAGGAGACTGAGGGGAGACCTCATTCATGTTTATAAATATTTAAAGGGTGAGTGTCACGAGGATGGAGCCAGGCTCTTCTCGGTGACAAACAATGATAGGACAAGAGGTAATGGGCACAAGCTGGAACACAGGAGGTTCCACTTAAATTTGAGAAGAAACTTCTTCTCAGTGAGGGTGACAGAGCACTGGAACAGGCTGCCCAGAGAGGTTGTGGAGTCTCCTTCTCTGGAGACATTCAAAACCCGCCTGGACGCCTTCCTGTGCAACCTCATCTAGGCGTTCCTGCTCCGGCAGGGGGATTGGACTAGATGATCTTTTGAGGTCCCTTCCAGTCCCTAACGTTCTGTGATTCTGTGAAACTTACGCTCAGTCATTGCCCAAAACACAATGAGAGTTGCACATAAGCTGAGCAATCAGGGACATTAATGGCACTGGAGTAATGAAAACTTAGGTCTGAAAAACCCAGTTAAAGGACAAGATCCTAAAACCACCTGCAGCAACAGGGTTTTGCTGTCACCTTCAGCAGATCTACCACCACCATGAGTGCAGCAGGACAAGTAGAAATTCTTCTACCCCTACACCACAGCAGGCCTGCCCTTGTGGCAGTTACACAAACTTCCTGAAAGTTTTGCAGTCTCAGAACCAAAAAATTAAAACAAGTTAACAGATAAAAGTGTGCATTTTTCCTACCCTGTGTTAGCCAACAAAACCAAGGTGATCATCACCTTAACAGTGGAATTTGATACTGACATATTTGAAAATGTAACGTATGTACTGTGTCATACGATATTTGCTCAGAGATAAAACTACTGAACTAACGTACCAGTTTGCATGCCATTCGTTTCTTGGTTTCTCTATCTTGGGCTAAGTACACCTTCCCAAAAGCTCCCCGAGGAATGAAATCAGAGCCAATGTTCCTATAAGTCAGCTTCCATGGAAACAGGAGCACATCTGAGTCAATTTGATAGCGCCCATTCTTGGGTGTGATCTGTGGAGTTAAATGAAAAAAATCACAATGAAGTTATAACTAATTCAAGCCTAATTCATTTTATACATGCAGCACAGATTAACATAATCTATCACTTACACATGTGCACAACGCACACGATCCGTTCAGCAGTCTTTATTTAGAAACACCAAATGAGAACAGCATGTGAGGTGTGGCATTCATTCACAGCCCAGGCATCCACATTTCTCTCCAGTGACTAACTTACAAAGTGTAAGTTGCAATTAATTGTCTTGAAACAACAACAGCAGCAGCTGAGTTAATGAAATTACCCACCTCTTGTTATTAGATTTACCTGCACGTTTGTTCTTCCTGTAATCTGCTAACTTGTTATGCCACATACCTGTTACTCACAAGCTATCTTATATGACGTGAGCAAGAGTTTCAGCATTTCCTAATATCACATGTACTGCTAGGGGAACACATTTTAATTTTCCATCTTGTATCAGAGTTTCTGCTGCTTAGTCAAGGGTCAAAGAAGTCTGCCACGATTTTACCAGCCACCTTCTTCTAGTCTCATACTGTAATTCAAACAAAAGAGCAGGAGCCACACTGACTGCTTTAGGCGGGTAATGCTGGGAGCCTTGGTTTTCTATACTGTCAACAAGGCAAGCAGGGCTCCTCCAGGAAGCAATTCAGAGCATCTAAGTCCATATCTTGCTCTAAATCTTCCTCCGAAACAGCTCCCTCTCTCTGCACATGACAGAGAGACCAAACTCCTAACTACAGCCATGTGAGTACTGCTTGAGGTTTGATGTTATTTCTTCAGTCTCTTAACGCTCTCTCAGCTAAAGAATTAGTAATGTTTCCTGTGAAAATGCTTCTAATTAATTCAGGTATATAAAGTATTGTCAGTATCTGGAATATCATTAATCCGTTTACTACTACTATATGAAGATTCTTGAAGATATGTAAAAGCAGATGAAGGGTATTTATCATTTCATGTTTGTCACATGGTCTTATGTACTCAGCTCTTCAGCTACCCTCTTTAAGATAACAGCATATAGGAAGATTATTTGGTTTAGATTTCTTTTTAAGATGTAACACACACAATCTTTCTGAGCTTTAACTACCTTCACAGTTTTCAATTAGTAAAGTATCTTCTTCACTGCTAAAACTGTCATATGTGACTAGTACCTACATGAAATAAATTAATTCTTAGAAGCTCTTAATAGAGGAGGATAAGTTCTTAATTGCGGGGGGGTATCTTTTAACATTTTTGCTTAGGATATGCAGAATGAACCCCCATCTACTTATGAGGGCCAAGGCAGACTCCAGCAATCCATACCTCTCACCTGCTTGCTTCTGCATTTCAAGGGATTGAGACTTGCTAATTCACATGGGTTACACCTATTCTGGAAAGTAACAAACCCAGTGGAGTGGATTTGCAGAGCAAGAGAGCAACGACAACCACCACAACATTCATATTTTCAGGAGACTTTCAGGACTAATTCCTAGCCTAGTCCTGTGGAGTGAATGCTCATTTGTGGCTGTAACACATCCTCCAATTTAGTTTCAACTGAAAGAAATCCAGCTTGTGCACTCCAAGAGCCTTCACAACAGCAGCCACAGTGCAGTCAGACAATCGGAAACTCTCCTGATCCTAAAATGCTGTAGATAGTTACAGTGTAGATGCACCTGCTGAAATGCATGTACAGGTAATGTGCTGCCTCCAATCCTCAACTGCTTGATGGGATCACATGCACCTAATAGTACTTGGTTCATACCAGTTGTATGCATCTACAGAAATAATATGCAAGCAAAACAACCACGAGTATGTAGAACAGTGTCTGTCCTAACTATAGGAAACATTTAGTATTAGTAAGTGTCATTTCAATGTTATAGAGTTTAAAAGTGGCTGTTCCGCAATACTCCCTCCAAATCAGAATAAAGCAATACCCTGTGCATTTCACACCTGAGTAACCAGTAAGCCTCAAGCAACCAATGTTCATATATAAAACATAATATATGCCAGATATTTAAGGTGAGAGGTGTAGAACATCTTAAGGAAATAAAAGAGCAGGACAAACACATATGAACAAACTTCCATTTCATGACTGATTGTTTCAAGAGCAACTGATTTTAAGTAAAAAAATCCAAATGCTGTAAGCCATCACAGTTGCAGCTCTTGCTTTTTTATTCTGTGTCTCAAGTTTGTACTCGATGTTGGGAAATGTTTTGTGATCTCAAAGGATACCAAGAGGCAACATAGAGTGGATCCTTCTGAACAACAGACTTTCTCCACGGCTGCCTGAGACTGCAGGGGCCAGGTTTGATAACCTCAGAAGTCCCCTCCAGTCCCAGGTTTGCACAGGGAACAACAGCCTGACCATTACTCCTGGGACTGGGGGTAATTAGATTCATAAATAACTTCTGACTAAGGTCTACCAATTTCCAAGTAAAAAGAAAAGAGACATACCATATTCAAAAGGATTCCAGATTCTTGCTGTCTGCATCCTTTAAATTGTTTTGCAGTGTTAGAGACCTGATTTGCAAAAGCAAGCAGGTCTTCCACAGTCCCGTATTTGACGGAGGACATCAACGAAACTTCCCTTTCACAAAACAGTAACGATTCCGCACGTTCTTCATTTTGATTTGCCTCTTCACACATTGTAATTAAGCTGTCTTCATAGACTGCAAGGTCTCCACCTGGATAAAGGTTTTCCATGATGTCTATCACCTCAGACATATTTAAATGATCTAGCAACAAGTCAATCTCCTCTTTGCTATCACTACCCGTGCTCATATACTCCATTACTGTCCACTTTGCAAAACCACTCCTGGAAAAAAAAGAAACAAACAAACCTGAAAACACTTTTCACCTGAATTTGTTTTAGCAAAGTAAGAATGAAAAAGAGTTATCAGGGTGATAGACAGCTCATCATCATACAACTAGATATAAAATTATTAATCTGTATTATGAAGAAAATCATAGTTGGTAGATTGGGTGAAGAAGAAATGGAGAAAAAGTCTTAGCTAGTGAAATTTTGTTTAGAAGTTATTAGTGAACATCCCCTGTCATTCATTCTTGGAATTTACTTTGATAAAGATTTTTGTTAGAGGAACTGGCACAGTAAGGAAGCACAAACTAATTATATTTTGCTGGATATACAAAAATGTTGAAGCATCCTCAGGACAAATGAAGGAATTCATCATTTGGAAATGAATGACAGAGAGATTGAAATGTACTCAATTAGATAATCCCTAAGTTTTTATGAGCAATTTATGTGGTGTGTCCAGAAAGAGGAGAAGGTCATGGAGTCAGACCACTGCACTAGTAATAAGCATTTGTTAGTATCATTGCATAAAGCACAAGTAAGTCAGCACGTGAGATACACAACCAATCTTCTTTGCAAATAACTGACCAGAGCTAGACTTGAACTGAAATTTTCACCAGCTCCAGAAGAAAGTCAGAAATTGAGCTATCAGAAAAGCAATGAGCTTTTGAAGCAGTTTCCAGTAGTTTGTTCTGCCCTCAGTATTCCTAACAGTAACTTTTTAAGATAAATCTTGATCATTTTGCTGAAGTGCACTTTTACTACTAGAAACTGGATTCAAATCCCAAGAAGTCCTTTCCCATGTAAGGTTCCTAGTTTAAGCCAGAAGGAGTTACTCTACTCAAGTTAAAAACATATGCAAGATCAGTCATTAAAATACTTAAGCCAATAGGTACGAACACGTAAATGTCTAGGAGCACTTACCTTGTATTTATCCTGGTTACATCACACAAAACCATCAAAAATGTCTCAATTTAATCCCTAAAGTCGTCATGTTTCTTGAACCCGTATTTACCACCAGTGATAATTTCACAGCGTTCCGCAGCAGTCTATTAAAAAAAGCAAAACAAATAAAGCCATGGCAGACCAGCTCAAGTGGAAGGACTGGTTTATACTCATATGATCATTTGCTTCACAGAAAGAAAAATCAGTAATCACAAGGCTGAGATAATAGGGGAATTTTTTTTTTCCAGAAATTAAAAAAAGACGACAGCTCAAAAAGAATCAAGCAACTGTATGGTCATCCAGATTTCCAAGTAGTAGTGAAAAAGAAGTTTTCCATCGTGAGGTCCTGAGTTTTATCCTTTGCTAATAGTGAAGAAGAGAAGGAGCTCCTTTTCCTCTAGCAGAACCAAGCAGAGCATGCCCTATTCAGAGAGCTCTCATTTCCTTTTTTGCATAATCCACTGCAACCATCTACTATGGGCAAAAGATAGCAACCAGGCAAAAAAATACTTTTTTTTTAAAAAAAGTAAAAACAAGAACATCAAGCATAACCTATTTAACTCAAGGACAAGCAGTAGACTCAGTCCCCTGAGGCCACAAAGCAACGCCGTTTACCCGGGAACAGTTTCTGGTTATGATCATTATCTTTCTTACCGTCCCTGCAAGGACGTGGAAGCTTTGCGGCACATATTTCTCATGGGTTAGAGTATTTACGTCAGCTCCAGTGTTGAAGAAAACCGAGTAAAATGACGCGGCTGACTTGGCAAAGAAACTGAGACCACGTGCTGCTAGCTGGAGAGGCAGGACAGGTCAGCTCTGCAGATGCAGTACAGGAAAAGTCAAGGGGAGCACTTGTGGGCCACCACACTCCTTTTCAAACCCCTGGGGTGACGGTGGCAGAGCAGCACTGTGCCCCTCCTTTCCCCCAAGATGGTCACAGCAACTTTCATCAGCACTCTGCACAGTATCACCCAGCCTCAAGTCAACCTGATGGCACCCCTAGCATTAGAGCAGCTCGGTCGGAAACCTAATGGTCACCAACGCTACTCACGCAGGGAGCACCTAGGCTTTGTATCTGGGGTGCTGAGAGAGGTCAGGTTTTTCCAACCTACACAAGAAATAAATGCTAAGGGTGTTTTCTAAACCCTAGCATCCCACCTTCCTGCCCTACGCTTAAGCTAAAGGCTGTTAACAAAGCCTGAAAATGTTTAGTCCTTACTATAAAGGAGATTTCTATTTTTCCCCACAGCAGGACTATTATTCATTGCATTTTTGATGCTGAATTAAGGGGGGGAAGGGAGAAGAGAGAAAAGAAGCAGTCCAGTCATAAAAGGAACTGAAAGACTGCATATGAAAAGTCAGGTAAAGTTTGAAACTAGTCCTGAGGGACTTTCTGAAGAAAAACACAAGCCTCCAGATGCTCTGGTCCTTTGTGGATAGAGACAAGTGCATACTGTGAATAAACTAATTCACTCTCTGATAACATTTTCATGCATAAGGCATCTGTATAGTTTAGACCAAAGGCAGTTTTCCATAAGCGCCAGCTCTGCTGTCAGTTGCTAAAGCACAACACTCTTTTTTGCAGTTCTGCCATTATTTCAACATCATCACATGAGTAATTTGCAAGCCCTGAGTTTATTTCTCTATTTATCACAAGTAAAACCCTTTTTCTGAGAAGTGTATTTCTTGAAAGCATCCTTATATCCACCATATTAAAATAAGAGTAAGATACCAGAATTCTCAGCTCCTGTGGGACTTTTTTTTGTGTCAAAGATCAACAAAACAAAACAAACCCAAACAAAACTTATAATAAAAAACCCAACCAAACAAAACAAATATCAACAAACCAGCAGAGTCTGGTTCAACACAATCACATACCCATAATAAAGATTTCTCATGCTGCTTTTAGGGAATAGTTTTCTGGTCTAAGTGGCAAGTAACTGGCCACCAGCGATTATAAAAAGTATTTGCTTTTAAGAAAAATTACCGACAGACCTTGAAAAACAAGATCCTTTTGAAAACAAAGTTCTGCTGTTAACGGACAAGAAACATCAACAATTTCAATTTCCGCATCATTTCAGATTTTCACTTGGGCGGGGGAACAAAGCCAAAACCCACAAAACCTCCTCGCACTGACAGTGGCAAAAAGTCCCCCCAGCAGGGAAGTGTTTCCGTGCCCCCTCCTGCCCTGCAGCCCCCCGCGGACAGCGCAGGTGCTGGAGATCAAGCGACTCCAGCGGCACACCCAGTGCTGGGAGCCTGCTCGGCTGTAACCCCTGCACACCCATTCCCTGCACCACCACC